ACCCTGAATATGCATGATTTTCTTCATTTCTATTTCCACACCAAGTAAGGGTTTCCTGTCTAGAGTCGAATCTTGAATATACAGGGTTTGCTGTTTATTGTTGAATCTTGAATATACAGGGTTTCCTGTTTAGTGTTGAATCTTGAATATACAGGGTTTCCTGTCTAGAGTCGAATCTTGAATATACAGGGTTTCCTGTCTAGAGTCGAATCTTGAAAATACAGGGTTTCCTGTTTAGTGTTGAATCTTGAATATACAGGGTTTCCTGTTTAGAGTTGAATCTTGAATATACAGGGTTTCCTGTCTAGAGTCGAATCTTGAAAATACAGGGTTTCCTGTTTATTGTTGAATCTTGAATATACAGGGTTTGCTGTTTATTGTTAAATCTTGAGTATTCAAGGTTTCCAGTTTAGAGCTGAATCTTGAATATACAGGGTTTCATGTTTATTGTTGAATCTTGAATATACAGGGTTTCCTGTTTAGAGTTGAATCTTGAATATACAGGGTTTCCTGTTTATTACTGAATCTTGAATATACAAGGTTTCCTGTTTAGAGCTGAATCTTGAATATACAGGGTTTCCTGTTTATTGTTGAATCTTGAATATACAAGGTTTCCTGTTTAGAGTTGAATCTTGAATATACAGGGTTTCCTGTTTATTTTAATATACAGGGTTTCCTGTTTATTGTTGAATCTTGAATATACAGGGTTTCCTGTTTAGAGTTGAATCTTGAATATACAGGGTTTCCTGTTTATTGTTGAATCTTGAATATACAGGGTTTCCTGTTTAAAGTTGAATCTTGAATATACAGGGTTTCCTGTTTATTATTGAACCTTGAATGTACAGGGTTTCCTGTTTATTGTTGAATCTTGAATATACAGGGTATCCTGTTTATTGTTGAACCTTGAATATACAGGGTTTCTTGTTTATTGTTGAACCTTGAATATACAGGGTTCCTGTTTATTGTTGAATCTTGAATATACAGGGTTTCCTGTTTAGAGTTGAATCTTGAATATACAGGGTTTCCTGTTTAGTGTTTAATCTTGAATATACAGGGTTTCCTGTTTAGAGTTGAATCTTGAATATACAGGGTTTCCTGTTTAGTGTTGAATCTTGAATATACAAGGTTTCCTGTTTAGAGTTGAATCTTGAATATACAAGGTTTCCTGTTTAGAGAATTGAATCTTGAATATACAGGGTTACGCACAAAAGATGAGACTTTATATTAATGACGACCTGAAAATCATTAACTATTAAGATCTGAAGGTTGAAGTTGGCTTTCTATCTAAATTATAATTATCTTCGCTGGACCGAATGTGCTGAATTTTTTTTGAGGGAACCCATGAGTGCCTAGGAAGTAACACAGAGTAAAAAAATCGACATTTTTTTCTTTTAAAAATGCAAAAAAATCGATTTATTCTTTTATAAAATTCACCACTTTTCCCCACGGGCAACGCCGGGCACTTCAGCTTGTCTTGAATATAGTTTGTGAAAGGTGTATTCAATGATTTGGCAAAGTAAGCATAAAGCTGCAGAAAACATTCAATTATAAAACGAAGACGAGACCCCAAAAAATACTGTCCGTCGTTGTTCAAGTCTCATCTTTTGGGGGTAATGTTATAATAGTGTCGCTGGTTCATGATTCTTGTTAAAAACATTAAAGTTAATTTAATATGCAGACAAATTATCTGGATTGTTAGTATGTTATTCTATTACAGGGTGTTCAACTGAACTTGACGACTTCAATATGACTGAGTAGTGAGTATCATGTTCGATGTGAATCTTTGAAAATAATTTTCTAAGAGTTAAATTTAATTTATCTAAATATTTCTGCAACGATTGCTATGTTTAAAGGATGTTAGAATTAGCAAAGAACATGTAAAATCTTTCTCTGGGATATTTAGAAAGATGAAAATTTCCCTAGAGTAAAGTGCAACCTAGAAAAGGTTCTGTATAAGTTCTAAATATTTTTGTTCAAAATAAAGATTCTGTTAGGTTTGGCAACTTTTTTCTGCAGAATCTTTCCTCCTCTCTGAAAGGTTTTACATCTGACATCGGTATGTTTAAGGATATCTACTCGATATAAAGCAATATTTGTCAATACTTATTTTGCCTCAAACTCTTAACTAAATGAATATAGAAAAAATATGCCGTTTTAAGAAAGTTTTAGATAGATATTTGCAATCATCCAGAACAAAAAGTTTTATCAAAAATTAAGTTTTATAGGAGTTTTTCAAAAATATGAAAAAAAATTATTTCTGAAACCCCTAGGCTTAGTACACCAATATAATTCACTAAAACCATACTGAAGTCCTTCAAGTATCATACAGGGAAATTTTCATCTTTCTAAACATACCAGGGAAAGATGTTACAGGTTCTTTAGTGGTCAACTGTGACTTCAATTAAACAGTTGTTCAAAAAGTTTTAACGAAAATTTAAAATCTCTGAATATCTTATTAAAAATGTTATTAAGAAAAGGTTAAAATTTCGCAAAAATGAGTTGTTGAAAATTTATACGAAAAAAAATAAGATTTTAAATGAAAGGTGAAAAATTTTCGCAAAAATCTAAAA